AATAGCCTTCTTTCCAGTCTTTCTCATGCACTTTCTAAAGCATGTGATGTAATGAGAACTTGTTTACAGCATGCTTGATATTTCTGAAATGAGTCTCAATATGTGTCGGATTGTGAAAATGGTGTCTCTAGTTTGAGAGGCCTATCCATGTGGTAATGGCATTGCTGTGACTGGATTAAGTCTGCTGTTCATTGCATTCTCTGAGGTACATCCTTTACTCCTCAGCAATTGAATCTATCAGCCCTTGTAACAGCTGTCTTTTTTCAAAATACACTATCTGACTCTTTGAAACACTGAAAACATTCATCTCTTAAGAAACCTGTGATTAAAAAAAAAAACAAACCAGTGGCATTCAGACAGTCTGTACCGGATTCTAGTTTCCAGAGTATTGGAGTAAATAAAATTAATCTCTTTTAGCTGATTAAATTGTCCCAGTTTTGGGGGTTTTACTGGTCTGACCTGAGTTCAGAATGTAAAATTCTCCATCTAATGTACATAAATCAGGCATATAGATGTAACATCCCAATGTCATGATTTTAGAAATCATTCTGAAGTGTGTTATTTTTAGCTTGATCAAGACAGTTCTTTATGTGAACATACATACCTTGATCAGTAATTAAGTTGTCCAGCACTCTCAAATACCCTTTCGTTATTGTAGAGGGACAATCATTAACAGGTTAAATTTAGATTAAAGACTTGCACATAAAAGCTTAGTAAAGGCATCCAGTGCTTAAACTGAGAACAAAACCTTCTGTTATGTGACAGAAGAACCCCAGACAAATGCATAGTAATAGTAAAACCAGTACTTTTTCTTTTGAAGTACAAGTTCACTTTCCAGTTTCTCATTGTGCTCATAAAAGTGATTGTGTAAAGGCAGTTCCTTTTTGTAGAGACAGAGGCAGAGGTTTAAGCCGTAGTCCCAAAGCAAAAAAAGAGGGATCAAAGTTGGACTCCATCTTTGGACTCTTAATAAGTGGCTTGGTGCCTGTCACAGAAAGCAGCAGAGTAACTAAGATGTCTTTCCACACCCATGTGTAAAAGCCTTTCACACTAAGGGAATGCCAACAAAACCAGTTGAATTTCAAAACACTCAGGTACTATTTTCTACAGAAATCAACTTCTCCTGGAAAGCTCCTTTCTATCCACTTGTCCTCCAGCCTGTACTCTCCGTTCAGGAAGAGACTCATTCAGGACTTTTCATTGAACTTAAGGAGCTTTCTCTTACCCATTTGTCTGGCCTGTTGAGGTCCCTCTGAATAGCAGCCCATCCCCGGGGTACTTGGCCATAGACTTCATTTTGTTGTCGTGTGAAATTGCTGAGGACACATTCTAACTCATTTCCAGCTCATTAATCAGAATACTAAAACACTATCAGCCCCAGTACCAACTCCTATGGGACACCCCTTGTAACTGACCACCATCTGAATGTTTTATTGCTGAACAAAACCCTTTGAGCTTGGCAGTCCAACTTTGCAGACACCTTGTAGTCCGCTTATCCAAACTGAATCTCAGTTTGGTTACATGAGCATGATAAACAACTCCTTACGCAAACCCTGTGTTTCTGTTGTGAACCTAATACTTAGAAAAGGATTTACTAGAAAAGAAATGGTTGTGGAGGAAGGATTGTGTCTCCTGTTTTTTTGAAAATGCTATTTCCAGGCTTGTTCATTCTGTGCTGCTGCTTTCGTTCCCCTAATCCGTTTCTCAGAATGTTCTATTCCTCCTGAGTCTCATGCAGTAAATAAACTGCCAGTTAAGGGAGGGAAGTGGGGGGTAAGTTTTCTGGTTGTTTCTGTCATCCAAACAGAAAGAAACACCTGAGAGGCTCTTCAGCCCATGAGCCACATTTCCTTCTTTGTTGCCAGGGCATTGAGTGAACACCAAACCCAGAAAAGCTATGGCGGGTTCTTACTTATTGTGCCCACAATTAGTCTTGTGAGCTACTGTTAATATTAGAAACTGCTTCTAAAAAACTGTTCTCCACCATGATGGAAGGTATATGGCAGACACTGTTAATATTAGAAGTCAGCCAAAATAATTAGCACCTGTGCAGGGTGCATTTTCCTCTTCACATGGTCCAAAGTGGAAACCTTGTAAAATTTTTCACATTTTCACCCCTATTAAATATGATGCCTTTGAGAGGATCAAAACAACAACAACAACAACAACAACAACAAAGAAAACAAACAAACAAACAAAAAACAACAACAACAAAAAAACCCACATAATTTGAAGCACTGGTCTCTATTACCTTTCACTTTTTGCTACTTTTGGGGGAAGAAAAAAAAATTGATATGCATCATGGATGAGGTCCAGATCTGATATAAATGCCTGACGCTTGCATTAAATAGACTTAAGCTGATTTACAAGAGCTGAGGATCATGAAACGGTTTTTTTTTTCTTTTAAAGGTGGGTGGTTCTTTGGTGGGGAGTCCAAGATAGATTAGTTTTGGAACACGTCCTTGGGAGGGCAAATAATTGGCAAATTCCAGCAGACCTCCTCAGTTTTATCCATAAAAATAAGCTTTGTGTGAACCCTTTTTCCAAACATTCCTGCACACACGGATTCAGTGACTGGACCTCCTACATAGTAACCCTGTACAGTCTGTATTCTTCTGTGATTCGTCTTCAGGACAGCTCACCCAAAGTCTGGTTCCTCTGGCTTTATGCAGAGTTGTGAAACTCACTCCCAATTCTGTGTTTTGAGGCACTGACATGTAGAATTGTACATTCGGGAAGAATTAAGAGGTGCATGACAATCCATCCAGGATGGATAATCAGATGAACATGAGCTCTAGGTTTAATATGATTGACCAAATATTTTGTGTGATCATTGGACTTGTAAACAGGGTAATTTCAAGTATGAGTAGAGGAGATGATTTGTTTTGTATTGGATGTAGACCTTTGACTTCTGTCATATCTGATGTCCACACTGCCAGATCGCTTAGCTCCCTAGTTCATTCTTCTCTCTTGGCTTCTTGATTATCCACAGGGCACAGAAGTGAGTTGGTACCCTGTCTTTCTCAGGGACCAAACTCTGCTTTTAAATAGATGGATAGATAGATAAATAAATAAATAAATACATTTAATGTAATTTGTTGGTAGTTTGCTCCAGGAAGTAGTTCTGGAAAGTAGTATGGGTAAGACTACCTTCTGTTTGGCATATCTTTCTATCCTTAAATGTGGCATCAGATGACTAGTATTCCCACATGCCCTCTTGATATTCTCCAGTGCACACAACACAGACTCTCAATTCCTTGCTAAAAACTCCCCAGTGGAGGAAATTGTGACATGGATCTCTCACAATGTCGCAGATATTGAGAAACGCAAACAAAGTGATTGTTTTGTCTAAAAATTGAATGAACGTGAAAGAGACCCTCAGAGACAAGTGCTATCTAGTATGAGACAGGTACCACCTATTATGAATGTGGCCAGCCTGCTCAGTAAAGAGCTAGATCCTGAGCAGTGTGAGTAGAACCACTCTGTAGTCGTACACACACGGCTGTGTGTATGGTGATCTTGGTGCTAGGGATCATTTCTTTGAGTGGATATATTTCAAAATGTAGGTTTAGCTACTTTTCCAAGTCTAGTCTTCAGAGGTCAAAAATGAGTACTTATAAATTTGCAAAGTTCCAAGATAATAATGGAAAATTTCCCACAAAGTTGGGAAAAAGGGCTCCAGGAGCTTATCTGGGAGCAAGTCAAAGGATAGCTTTATCTTAGCTTATTAGTATCTGCAGGAGAAAATAACATTTCTTAATAGAGGACTTGCCAATTTAGCAAAGGTTCAGGAAGATCAAGTGACTGGAAGTTCAAAGAGACATTCAAATTAAATAAGGGTAGTCCGTCATCAGGGTTCCAATTATGCATTGGAATAACTTATCAAAGTTCGTGATAGATTATCCATTATTGTAAATTTTTAAATCAAGACTGAATGTTTCTCTAAAAGTTATGCTCTAGTAGAGCACAATTTGATTTTGCAAAATCCTATGGCCTCTCTTATGCAAGAGCTAAAAATTATCCTTTCTGACTTTATCACTTTAATAAGTATTTAACCAGGACTTTGTTTTCCTCTCAACTGAAGCCACCTAAGCTCCCAGGCAAATGAAATCACAATAATCTGTATGTAACAACTCACTGCAATTTTAATATTGAAGAGAGGAAAAGTTCTTTGGAACTTTGGAGAAGTTTTCCACATTCCCTCCCATATCACTTTTCTTTCTAAATCTCGCATTTCAAAATGCTTTATAATAAGATATATACCTGACTGTCTTTTTACTAGTGTCACTTTTCGGCACTTCCATCTTGCCTTTCAGACACGTGCAGAGATGTGCGCTGAGTGGCTGTTGGGTGATACTTTTGCATGTCGGTGATGTGAGATGTCTTCGAGACAGCTCTCTTCTGCTTTGTTTAGATTGATCGTTGTCATTGTGCCACCACGTGTAGAAGCTGAGACCTCCCTCCTCTCTGCCTTTGCTGGTTTGAAGTTAGAATGTTTTATCTGAGGTTTAAAAGTTCTCAGCAAAAACTTTCCCAGTCTTTTGAATTTCAAGAGATTTTAATGATATGCCTCTTGAGGGTTTTTTTTCCTTCTTGCAAGCCATCTCTGTAGTTTACCAGCTGAGAAGTCCCTGGATTATTTCCTTTTTGCCTCTAAAATGTAATCTCAGTGCCTTATGTGCTCACAAGGGTCATGGAAAGGCTATAAGAAATCTGAGGAGCTTTTTAAAAACCGTATAAGGAGATTCTTCACAGCTGTTTTTCATCTTCAGCAACTCTTTGCACGGGGTTCAAGAAATGCAGAGTGTTTCAAGAAAGGTTATTATCCTTACTGGCTTTCTTGGTACCCAAAGCAAGTACAGCAGCTGGGAAAAACCCCAGCTTCCCTTTCTGATTTTTTTTTTTTTATATTTGTCTTTTTGCCAGGCATGTTATTTTCCATTATAGGATTTAGCATTTTCAGCAACTTGGGCTGGAAAGTGTGTGACTTTTTACTGCTTGGGGTCTATGTAAGAAAAGGCCGATTTCTTCAGGTCTAGAGATAGTTTTTCTTTGCTTGACCTCTGAAAGATCTGTGGAGTTGTTACTTCACAAGACTCTGGAAAATAGAAGTGGAGAGCATTACTTAGCAGGATGGCCTTTAAGTAGCAGAGGTTTTCCTTCATAGGAAAGGTTTTAAGTAGCAGAGGTTTTCCTTCAAGACTTGCTAAAAGCCTTATGGCTCATCATTCTTCTCCTGTAGACTTTATAGACTCCGGAATCAAGGAAATTCTTTTGTAGCAGATTTGGGGCTTAAAGAAATTCCCCCAGAAATGAAAGTTATTAAAGAGAAGATACAAAGCTGGTGTATCTTTTTCCAAATTTCTCAGGAAGAAAAACGTCTAAACGGTAAAGAAACAGCTGGAAACCAGGAAATTCTGAGCTACAGTCAGCAGCTCTGTAATAAGAAGTTGGAATCATGCTTGAGTATAACATTTTAATTTTGCCTAAGGAGAAACAGCATACTTCAGAAGAGGAGAATAAAGAAAATAAAAGTATTGCATTTCATTAAATGGTCATCAGGAAATGTAAAGAAAATGTTTATAATGCTTCAGGAGGAACCAGCTTCCCAACAGGGTGACTGCACTACATTTCAAAATGCACTCCGTGACAGCTTCACTTTTAATACATGTGCAGAGAAAGCGAGGGCTATTGCATTCTGTCACCATGCCTGGAGGGACACAGACTTTCTGTTTCAAAAACAGCTTTTCAGCTATGTCCAGTTTTGGTAGAGAAAAGTTCAAATGTGGAATCATCGTTTATTCTCAAATAATACATTGTGCATCCCTGCAAGTTTTTATTAGTTTGTGGTTTTTTACATTGCGAAAAGGTTTTTTAGAGATAAAGGCTGGGGCATGTTAAATGGTCACAGTTAAATAATGTTTCAGGATACTCAAAGAATGTGCTAGAATTACAGTCCTTTGGTCATATCACGTTAAAAACTGTAGATGTAAGTTATGGTTTTATTACACTAATGATATGGCTAGTCAAATTATGAGCAACAGTGAGATAGATGGTTTATAAATCAAGTGAAATAAGTGCAGTGAATTTCATCCACACAAAGACTTAAAATGAAGATTTGAAATTGTGTGCAGTGGCTTGTTGTGGAATTATAGCTTTAATTTAATTTTTAATCCCCAACAACCGTATACTTGTGTTTTTCTATTTGCTGTTGGAACTACAGGTGTAGAGCAGTGTCCACAGTCAGTGGTGTGGAGATGCAGCTCAGTGGATTCTAAATGCAGTCCTTAGCAAAACTGGTCACTAGGACCCTGATCCAATAAAGGCTTAGTCACATTCCTAGCATTACACATTCTGATCATTTCCATTGATTTCATGTGCAATAAATCAGAATTCAAAGAAGATATGTAAGTATTTGCTAGAGTACTAAACAGTCAGTACTGTCATGGAGCTTCTCGTGGGACAGCAGAGCTACAAACCCCTTCCATAGTGCCTAAAACTGAACTCAGATTTTTGATGCCAAATCTATTTACCAAAGCATGGTAGCTTACTGCCTGAGATCTCTGGGTCAGTTATTTATGGTAGCAAATCTCCATAATGTCAGCCATGCTTAACATTATTTCTTACCTCATCCTAAACTCAGTGTTTTGGTGTATGGTCTTTGGTATGCTGCTTAGCTATTGCAAAATCCCAGTCATTTTTTTAAAACTCACTATTGCTTTATGATATATTTTGAAGTGTGTCTTGCCTATCTTTTTTAGATAGTGTAGTGGTATCTACTTGCTATTTGTCTAGATGGTTCACTGTTGCAGGCTTAATTCCAGGAAGAATTTTTAAAAACCTGACAAGTGCAGACTTTGAAGTACTGCTCACATAAAACAGCATTGCCTCAACAGCTCACAAAAGCATCCTGTTCCACCCAAAAGGAACAGGCAAGATAGTGCTGGCAGAAAATGATCTCTTAGTAGTTACATTTTCTTCCCCCACAGCACTGAGTGTTTTTTCAACCACCCTAAGAGGCCCATTGTAATAAATTGATTGAGTTTGAAAGCTTGTCCAGTTTCGCTATAAATTCTGTAAGTGATTCTGTTCTGTCTTAAAATGTTGTTTATTACTTCTAGCTGTACTATATGTTCCTCTGAATTTCAGGAAAAGCCATAGTCTGGGTTCCTGAAGCAAGAGGTCGAGATGCTTGGTAGCATTCCAAGGGAAATTGCTGGTGTTTCTACAAACTTTCAATTTATTATTCAGAAAAATCAAATGAAATATTTTCTTTTGGAGTAGATTAAAAAACAATAAAACCCAAAATCAACCAAACAAACAAAGAAACAAATCCCACCAGATTATTTTCCTGTGGTGACCCAAAGCATCAACTGAAACCACTGCTTAGTGAAAACATTGAAAAGACAAAAGAATTGGTTTAGATTGAATAAAAAAAAAATGGGAAAAGGACAAAAATATCAGGTGACTCCCAGATTTGGTTAGACCCAGAATGAAACATCGATTTCCCTTTTCAGGTCTTGTAACCATTTTCAGTAAGATTTTTGGTTTGCATCAATTTTGAGGTGAAAATGATTTTAGAGTAAGTTGGGTTTTAAAATGTACCAAAAAAAAAATTCCAGTGTTTCCTAATTGTAATATTTTAGTCCAAATATGTTAATTCATATTTTTTTGCCCAGTTTTATCCAATCTATTCACCACATTACTTTTTTGGGGGTTTGTTGGAGGGAGTTTTTTGGTTTTGCTTTTGGAGCTGGGTTTTTTGTGTATGTCCTCAGATCACATTTTTGAGAAACTGCTCTGTTTTTTTGTTTACTTTCTTGTTTGTTTGCCTGTTTGAGAAATTCATAATTTGTCAGATTTTGGTAGTTCAGGCAAAATCTCATCAAGCTGGAGGAGAAAAATGCCATTCAAGTAAAAACTGTACTAGGATGTGTTCCACAGATTTAGTAATAAAGAATTCTTTTTCTAAGAGGTCTTTGAGATATTTGCATCTCTGGATATGCCTCAACTATTTCCTCAGGACAAGAAAAAGAGGGTGTTTTGTGGCTGATCATAATTTGTTTAATACTCTTGAGATGTTTGGGTTGCAACTTTTCTCTTTTTGTTTATTTGCTACCAAGCTTTTCCTTTGTTTTTCTCAGGTAGGTCAGGGCAGGAAGATGCTACACTTCTCAAAAGATCACAAGTCCCACTGCCTGGGGCCAGATGTTAATAAAATATTCCTTTGATTTCTTTTTTTTCCTCCAGTCTCTTCCTCCCCCAGCACAGCAGATGAGCGTAAGTCCCTTTTCCCCTTACATTCAGCTATATGTCATCTTGAATTTAGTCTGAGATTTCAGTCAATTTGACTCTGAGGAAAGGGCTCCTGAGGCAGATATTTCCCTTTCCTTATTTCAAACACTTGCCTGCAAATTAATTGTGCTGATTGGAGTTAGTTCATTTCTTATGTTTGCATTGGCAACCCAACAATATGGAAGTAAACCTGAAGTTCACTGCTCTGAAAAAAACATAATTTTTTCCTCTGCATGAACTATTTAAAAGTTCTCAAAACACATGCTTTTGCTTTGCTTTTGCACTAAATTACACTAACTAGGTGAATAATATTAAATTCTCCTCTTACTAGAAATCTCTTATTTTGATTAATAATAATGAGTAAATATTTAAACTTGCTATAAATATTCTCCAATAGTTATTTTTATGGCATCAGTAAATTAGAACCCTAAACAGAGACTGTACAAAGGTGTTAAACCCAAGCCTGTAGGTGAACTAAAATAGAAATCATGTTGAAATTAATGTTAATGGTGGAACATAAAAGCTTTTGAAAATTTTCTATAGCCCTGATGGCATCATAATTTAGTACATGCTTTCTCACATGTATTCCAGTTTTTTCACCCCATCTGCCTCTTTTATTCTCAGCTGCTACCATGATAGGCCCTAAGGACAGCATAATCTTGTTAGCTGCAATGCCATAATCTGCTGCTAGCATAAGAGTGCAAGGCAGAAAAAAAGAATCTGTGTATACTGCAGATATTAAAACATTTCTCCTTCTCTTCCTCAGACTGGAGGCTTAGAGAAATTAAGAAAAATTGTTTTATTGTCTATAAATTATAAAAACTATTCTATTACAGTTAAGTGAATCTTACCATTATTCTTCATTTTTCTTAATAAAGAACCTTCTCCATTGCATTTCCCTACAGTTCTTGCCAGCTGGAAAAATCCTCTGCCAGAGAGATTTTTCCACCCAGTTTATTGCTGCAGCACAAGGAACCTGCTTCACGTTGATCTAGAATTTCAGACAATGCATAATAGCTCTCTTAGAAGCTAATGCACGCACTCTACATGCTCCAAATAGGCTTCTGTTATGCTGGAGAGAAGACAAACACACTGGCATAAATAAATTGTAGCATGTTATGACAATACTTCCCTTTCCAATCCAACAGCTGGAAGCAGAAAGGTTGACTGAGGATGAGAGGGGATCCCTCCAGTACAGGTTCCAGCATCCTTGGGAACCAGATGGACTGAAATGGAAAACAGAACTAAAACAGGCCACAAAATTCACTGCCAGGAGAGGTTTTCTTTTTATTCATGACAGTGCCAGGTTTTACTAGAAAGAAGTTTGCCATGTCATAGAAACTAAAGATAGGAATGAACTGGAATCACCTTTGTTCTCTCCCAACCAGTTCAGGATTGTTCCAGGTATATTTTCTAATTTTTGTGTAGTCTGATTTGTAAAGGCTCATGAAGTAAAGATTTTATCTGCCAATTTTAGGTTATTTCACCCCAACGGTTTTAGGAGAATTTTTCTTAAGCTTTCAGACTAGATTTCCTTTCTTTTTCTCATTACTTTTAGTTTTATCATCTTGGACTCCCTGAGGCAGCTTTTCCCCGTGCCTGCTTTTTGTCATTTCATATTCTTCTGTGTATCTGCTATGTTTCTCTACAGTTGCCATGATATTTTTTGTAAGACCTCTTGTTAAATGTCATTTGCAGATGTCATTACTGTTCTGTTTACTTCCCTCTTCCACTAATGAAGATGTGAAATAACACAGAACCCATCATTGCCCTTACTAGGTAGTTTCTGTCAGCCTCAGAGGCTGCTGTTTGTCAGTACCCTTCCTTTGTGGTCCTTCGGTTTGCATTCATTCCCCATGACAGTGCTCTTATCTAAGTCTTTCTGAATTAATTTTTCAAGCAGATTTCTCTGAGACATTGTAGGAAAGATTTTGCTGATGTTTCAATCCAGCTTCATTGCTTCTGCTGTTTGCCCTTGTATTCTAGGGATTTTGGCCAGATAGAAAGCAACTGAGGAATAACAATGCATGCTGAGATACCTCTTTTCCCACTTACAGTGTAACTTTCTGATCTGAGGGTCCTGCTCTGTGAACACTTGCTGCATTAATCACAGGTCCTCTCAAAGGCTAGGTTGTAACCAGCATTGATCATTCCTCAGAAAAGTTTCAAGGATTGCAATCAGGTGTGTCAGGTGATTAACTTCTTACTAGGTGGAGTAAGGCCTGCAGTTTTACCTTTGCAATATATATATATGTGCAGTAAGTATTAAGGGCTGGATTTCATCTCACACACATTGAGTAAAATGTTTTATAGTGGTGACAAAATTCTCTTCGTCTCAGCATAATCTTGATTTCAGGTCAGATAGAAATTCCTTTAAACAGTGGGATTTTGGAATAAGCAGATCTCGATTCTTTGTGAGGTTAGCAGAAATTGAGTCATACTAGATAAATCAGAATTGTCTCTACCCTTTCCCTAGTAGACAGTGAATGGACAGATTATCCTCTTGGAGCCTGTAGCTTTTCCAAATAAGGAGTGGGAAAGGTCATTTCTGAGTGTTAAGAGGTTCCTTCTTTCTTTCTTTTTTGTAGGATATTTCTAATTCTCTTCTGAATTCTAATGACCTTTGGATGGAGCTAACCTCCATCATGTGAATCACCTGTGTTGGTACATTTTGTAAGGAATAATCCTAATGCTAATCGTGTCATAATGAAGTCAAACTTGCATCAGTTGAGGAGACTACTAAAAATACAAGGTCCTTCTCTTGATTTTCTTCTTTCCAGTTTCACTCCTCCTTGGCTACTTTAGCCTTCTTGCAAACCTGTATAACCTAGCAGTTATCTGTAAGCCATCTATGCATTTTTTCTCTGCAGCCTCAGCGGCTCGGGAAAATTTTGCTTGGTGGCATCTTGAGACCTGAAGCTTTTTTTTAGTCAACTTCCTGCGTTAGCACAGGGAAAGGACTGTACTTTCCACTGATAGATCTCAGCTCAGTTGTTTTAACTGCAGAATCAGCACATAGGATGAGCACTGACTGGTATGTGACATGGGTTCTCTTGTTCTTTGCTCTGTGTTTTCCTTCAGGGGTTATCTTGCTGCTTCTCGATAAGTTACGCAAGATGAAATGGGAGCAGATGTGGAGACTCACAGCAGAGCGGGAGTTAATGAGCATGTTATCCACCTCACTGGCTGACCAGGTGAGTAGGACATTGCAGGAGTGTGGTGTAACCATTAGTCCATGGATTGAGGAAGGAAAGAAAGGGAGAGGGGATGAGATGGGGGAAAAGGCAGGGGAAAGATACTGTGCCTTTAGTCACCATTTGTTGAATCATTCTGGGGAAAATGTGAAAGAGAGGAATGGAGATTTACTGATGAGGTTTCTCTTACTCCACTGATATTTTTACCATCTCTGCTCAGATGATTCATAAGAGAGACAAAATGGGGTTTTCATGCATTAAATTTCTCTTCTTCGTTCTTTACCATAGAACTCTCCAGACACTTGAAGTCCAAATATACTGTCTTTTTCTAATGGTTATTGTCTAATCAGACTTTAGTTTTAAGAGTCTCCAGACATTTCATTACTGTTTCTGGCATTTGAGTCCCAGATGTCTTTGAATGTACTGCTTGCCACAACACCCTGTAAAGACAAAAGCGCTGATGTCTCCCTGCTACAGATGGGAAACTGAGGCCAGGAGAAGAAATAGTGTACCTATACACAGAAATGTGTACTTAATCAATTTGTCCTTCCTGGCAGCTCTGAGTTTAAACCCAGAATAATACTACACCTGAACCAGTGATTCTTGCTCAACAGCTTGGGCAAGTGTTAATGCAATGCAGTACCTTATTTAGATGTTTCTTCTGCTTCTGAGCTACATCTGGTTTATGACCAGTTACCACAAAGGAAGCATGCTGCTTACAATGCCTGTAGAGATGTGCACTGTGTACAGCATCTTTGCAGGTTGATCCAAAAGCTACTGAAGTTCATTAAAATTATTCTTGCGACTTCACTGTGTTTTCAGTAAGGTCCTGAGTCCTAAGACTTTCACAGGGCAGAGTTTTGCAGAGTGGAGAAAGGTTGCTTATGTCTTACCATAATACCTTAACCACAGACTGTTCTTGTAACTTACTTCTCCAACTGAATGGCTGCTTAGAGACAGAACACTTTCAGTCCCTCATGCTGTAGGCTGTTCTGAAGATCTCTCCTACATGCCTTTTCCATGAAATACCTCGAGTATTTGGTTGCAACAATAAAGTGCTAGCTAGAATCCCACCTAGTAATTCACTTTGAAACAGCATATCTGACAGAATCACATTCATCCCCTTTATTGAAAAGTGATGCAGTACTTACTAACAGCAGGTATTTTGTCATTTACTGACTGTTACTCTCTCTGGTGACTAGAAGAGGAACCACACCTCATGCCAGCAGTACAAGATAAATGTTTGAACACTTTGCTGGAGTCCCTTAGCTCTAGATGTCAAGAGAGCCTGTTCCTCTTGTCCAGAGGAACATGTTGTCCTTTAAAGTAATAGCACCCTCCGTGAAAATAAAATTACAAAGCAAGGTTTGCAAACTTCACCTGGCATCACCGTCTGAATTTCTACCTGTGAGAGGGAAGACGGACAGTCAGCTTGGAGAGGTGTTGAGGTCACCTCACTGTAGAAACAACATACCCAACTGTTTCTCTGGTTTTTTTTTTCTGCTAGGATATCTTCAATGCAGTCATCAAACAAAATCCCTTCCTTGTCTACCAGCTCCCATGTTTCTGGAATGTGCAGCTTTCTGATCACACGCGTTCTGAGCAGTGCTACAGAGATGTGTCTGACCTGAAGGTAGGTTTCACAGGAGGCTGGGTGAGTGGTCTCATTTGGGACAGAGAATGCAAGTCTCCACTGTCTGAGAAGGATGAAGTGCCTCAAGTAGGGGGGAAATGAACACATACAGTTCATAGGGACACCCAAGCAGGGGAAGGAAATGTGACTTGGACTTTGACTTTGTGCATTTTGACTACTAGAAAAATCAAAGATGGATGCTGTTTGGGGTTTGGCAAGGTGTTAAAGTGCTTCACCTTCTTACATTCTGTATCTGTCCCCTATGCCACTGCACCTTACTGCTGAGCTCCTATTGCTGTCTCAGTTCTTAGCTCTTCCTAGATAAAGAATACAAACCCTTTTCTTTTGTACTGGAAGTTTGAAACTCTTTAGTCAACATCATTTAGTAGAGTGAAATTCACAGAGAGCACTGGGTGGACCCTAGCTAGAAATACATTAGCAGAAATGTAAAGACCTTGCACACTTCATATTTAGCCTTTGCATACACTTAACCCAGTCACGTTGACACTCATTTTCCAGGATTTGCCCTGAAAAAAAAAGGCTGAGCAGAAACCTAGTAATTTAAAATGAAGCTATAGTGTCAATTTAATAGCACGTTTTTCCCTATTAACAAATAAAATATAAAAACAGGATGGATTTCAACATATATGGGTAACTGAACATCAGTTAAGCTGTGGTCCAAAAGACCAGACTCAAATGTAGCCTGCAGAGAGTTCAGAATTGAAGCTTAATTGAGCTTTTTCCACGTGTAGAATAAGACTATGCAGCAATAGATTCCACCACAGCAGACATTAGTGGCATCAGAATGTTAGTAAATAATAATAGGTATGTTTTGATGATTCATTTTAAAATTTAGTTAAACTTTGAATACTTAGTTTATATTTTGAGAATGCTCTAGTAAATGAGGTTTAAAGAAAAAGAAAAGCACAAAACCATGAAAGAGGTTGCAGGGGATGTCTGGAGACCTTCCAAACCCCACTCAGAGCAAGACCAACTTAATTGAGGTTGCTCAGTGCCTTTTGCACTGAGTGTCAACTCTCCAAACACTGAGATTCCACAAGCTACCTGGCACAACGTTCCAGAGTTTGCCCACCCTCATGGTACTATATATTTCCTAAATCTAACCAAGTTCTCCCTTGGAGCAATTTGTAGAGTAACAGCAGGAATGTTCAATATAAACACCAGATACTGGATGAATATAGAAAATCAATCACTCTCAACACACTGATTTCAAAACCTGCGCTTCCAAGAGAGGGAAGTTCTTCTACATGGGTTAACCAACCTGTAAGAATTGGCCAGCATTGCTTGAATTTCATACATAAGGTATTCACAACTGACTGTTCAGGTGTGATCCATAGATGACAGCTGACAGCTGACAGCTTTTAAAGTAGAATTGTCAGTATACTAATCACTAAATGGTTTATGATCTGTGTTTAGGACAGGATCAGGCACTAAAAGGATCACAGTTTTATGCCTTGTAACAAAGTGCTTAGTGGAGACTTTGGTTCTTCGTTCATGCTGAGAATCATGTGTGACAGCAATTGCAGGGCCTGAAACGAACAAAAAGATGTGGTAGCAGGGAAAATATTTTCTAAAAGATTAACTTCAGAAAAGTATACTTCTGCCTGTGAGATATCACAGTATTTTTCTGTGAATTAGAGGCTGAAATTAATTTATATACTCCATTGAGACAGTCATATTGTGCTCAGCACGAGGTTAAGACACACATTTACATGAGGAGAAGATACTGAAGCTAATAACTGAGGATCTAGGTATTGTTTCTGTTACCTGAACACAGTCTGAGTTACTGTAGGTGCTCTCCAATATCCACATAGGACTGGCAGATGAAAACAGATCTACAGGAGAGGATACCCTCTTGGCAAGGCAGCTGATGGGCAGGCAGGATAACCATAAGGTGCTTTCAGTGTTGCTGTACATCTATATTTCGACAGCTAAGCTGGGATCCCCATGAGTGGGTTTGGAGACTGGTGAAGCTCACCTCAAAATAGTCATCAGATGACTAATCAGGAAAATCACTCTTCAGGCTCCAATGACTGTATTAACTAATCTGCTTCAGGTGTGGGACATCTAGCTCTTATGTAACACCCACCAGTAAGCATTTGATAGAAGTATCTTCAAGATAAATTATATCCCTTTCTCATTGTCGATTAACAAATTTAAGTTTACAACTATAATTTAGGTTTGGGTGTTTATTACTGTATGTTGTGTCACACTGTCAGTTCCATTAGAGCATAAGCAGTGAAGTCTAAGATGTGTAATATTCTCCATTGATTTTCTGGTCTGGTATTTAACTCAATAAGGGATGCAGACACATAAGCAATTTCTTCAACTGAACTGGACTTATTCACATTGCTAAAATTATCCCCTAAATACTTGATCGGGGCTGAAATTCTTTGCTTTGAAAGAGAGGCTAGAGCCTTATCTAGTGCACATAAGCTCCATGGTTTCAATAAAGCTCCTCCTATATTGAGCAGTTAAAGAACTTACCCTCAGGCAGCACTGTTAAAAATTCTTCGTGCAGTTTAAAAAATGAAAAAGCGCAGACCAGTTAAAGTTGTGAATTTGCATTATGAAAATTATCAAAATTCTAGTTCTGTAAAGAAACTGGCTGTTTTGGTATATGAGCCTCCCAAAAAAACTTCAACAAATGTCATTAGCCCAAGTTAGAAAATATACTCTTAAAATCACCAAAGTTAGTCAGTTCCATGACATTTAATATAAATGGTATGACACAATATATTTGGCACATTCCGCCTTTCATGGTAAGACTGGAATAGAAAACGAAGGAAAAGAAACCTCGAGGGTAAGAGGGATAGAAGGACAGATTGTGAAATTTGTACTGGAGGATCAAGAAGGATAGCATAGGAAAGAAGGAAATGCATGGAGAGATTTAAATTCCAAGGTAAAGCTGGCCCAGTCAAGTATTCCTCAGCCAAATAAGAGTCCATTCCTACTATCAGACTGAAAGGGCATTGATTTAATTACATCTGGCTTAAAGTCCATGGGAGTTGAGGATTTGTCATCTCTTACACAAAACCTTGTGTCAAGTGAACTTGGACGCCCAGGACTTACTGATGTTCATAGATGGGGGGAGGGGATATAAACACTTCTTTGCTGCTTTGTTCACATTCATGCAAGTGTAAGATGGCCAGCATACCTTTTACAGGCTTGGGGAGCAGTTGAATATTTCATATTGCCTGAAGAGGATTTCTAATCCCTTTTTTTCTCTTTTTAGTCCTCATTAAGTTTCATCTCTATCCCTTTTATTGATTTGAGTATTTTTGGTACTGTCTAATGTTAGAGAAGGTCAAATGTTTGAATACTGCTGAACTCTACTTCCTTGCTGCAGCTAAGCAGCATCTACAAATTTGAAAGGACTTGTATATGGGATTCTTTTGGAAGAGGTATAAGAACAGAAATATTGATAGCCAAGTTCTGCATTGTTAGTGACCATTAATTTTATAGCTATCTGAAATAACATCATAATAAGACTAATTTATTAATTTTATTCATCTAAATAGTTACTTACTTCTATAGTGCTAGAGGCCACACTGCACAACTAGACTGAAGTCTGTGGGCTTTTTTATGTTAACAGTCATACTTACAGAAATTTTCCTTTCCTCACCCCAAGGGCATCTGTATTCAGGATGCTGAGATCAGTCAAGAACGTATTTAATGAACAATTTTAATAGAAAACAAAGAGTGGGCTAAGAGGAAGCAGATACTCTTTAATTCTTTTTGCCAGATGAGTCAGCTGCAGTCTCTAAAGGCCAGAGATGTTTCTTTCTGCATGGCATTTTTTACACCTTGGAAAAACACTCAGGAGTTGCTATTGAAGACTGACCAAAAGAGGTGGAAGTGCTAATCGTCATTTTATGTAGACATCCAATGTCTGTCTTGCTCATCTCATCTCCTCACAGTCCCCACACTGTCAGTAGACAAGCATGTGTGCTGCGAACCATGCCTTGCTGAGCTTCAGAGCCTGTGGGGAATCCGCCTGGAACTGACCTTCATTTATTTTTGTTGTGCTTTTGCTGGGTTAGGCCCCGTTTTTGCTTCATTTTGCTTAATAGTTTGTTCCTGTCTGTGAGGAAATCTCAGTTACTATGATTTGGCACAAACCAAATGGCAGAAAAAATCCTATGAAAGAAGGTAATGAATTGTGATGCCTCTGACAATGAATCATGACCTCATTGAATGGGTCAGTCATGAAGTCTGGTTGTCAAGGATACAGATGCTATTTACACACAGAGAATCTGTTAATTCACAG